CAAATCTCTAAGCTGTTTGTTGAACAGGGCTCGTGTGTGTGTGTCAGAAGCAGGAGGTACTAAATAGATACGGAGGGGGAAGAGGAAGGAGTGCCTGCTGTGTGTGTCACATGTAGGATACTGCTGAGTCAAAAAGATGTCCTTGTTAATGAAGAACAATGGACCAAGCAAGAAATTAAGCAGATGTCATTAGTCTGCTTTCATGGGGAATGAGTTGAGTGTACAAGTGAAAAAGAGTATAAAGGCTCATGTAAAGAGAAGAAACTGGAACATTCTACCTGGTGAAAGCAAAGTGCCCAATGATTTAAACTTGATTCCTTCATAAATTTTGGCTTATATTAGAATTGAGTATTAATAATCATGATATTAATGTTATTTATTAATAGTAAAATATTAGGAATGTTATTGGGCCTATATAATTAACACTGGCAATTGCAGCTTCTCTTTAAGTCAAGTTTCTTACAATAAGAGGAATGCAGGCAACTTTGAGTGTCTAATAAAATTTAGGGACTTCTTCTTGGGAAGAATGCTCAGATGCAGAAAAGCCCTCACATTGTCAAAAGGCTTATTCATGTTTTGCGTTCATCTAAGGATCACCCATGTCCTTCCCGTGAGTGGTTTCTAGGTCAAAAATCTTAGGGTAAGTCACTGAACTAAGCCAGACCAGAGTTTATTTCATTAATCAGTTAACAATACCTCGTGTTCAGTATTACCATGCTCATTTCAGGGTTGGGAATACTGAGTATCCATAATAAGTAAGCAAAGGAGTTGAGTTTGAGTTTCATCTTTGCCTGCTCACTACACCCTCGGTACATTGAACAATGTCAGTTCACTTCTGGATGTACTTGCCTTTGAGCGACTGCTTTGAAAGAATTCTTTCCCATGGGTAGGTAATGTGTCTTCACCTAATTCCCTGATATTGTCTTGGAAAACTGCTACATGTTTCAGTCAGCTGACGTCTGTGGGAGTGTGTGTGTGTGTGTGTGTGTGCGCACATATTCCTATTTTTAAAAACATAAGTCACCAATAGGTATTTGGAAGAGGACTACAAACTATAATTTACTTGTCAGAACTGGCTATGTTCTACCTTTCTCAATAGATACTATTTTTCTTGTATGTATGGAGAAATGAAGGTATTCAATATTTCTAATGTCATACAAATTTTAAACAGCAGGAGTTTTGCAATTGAAATGGTGCACAGGTGAGATAGGAAGAAGGAAAGCAAGAAGAGAATGAAGGGGAAAAGTGGAGGAGAGACACTGAATGGGGAAGCCAGTGAGGTTTCCCCGGGATCTTGTGTCCAGCAATTTTACTACCCCACACAAGCAGTTCTCCCTCATTGGCAAGGCTACATCCATTCTGCAAAACTGAAAGAATAGTCTTTTACAAAAATGTTTTATACCATTTGTTATCTGCACCAGAGTTAACTAGTTTTCTCCTCTATTTTCCAGTGGCATTGCCAGACAGGTGTACAGTATCTCTATGTTGGTGAATTTCAGGAGCACTCAACTCTCTGCACCCAAGGCTTTGTTGAACGTATGGTATAATGTAATTGCCTTTGGTCTTTTACAGCACATTTCCTTTTGAAAAATCTTTCTTAAAAATATTTTGTTATAACATTTATAGATGTTGTGAGAAATTTTAAATTTCTCAGAAAGAAAATAAAATATAAAATAAAATTCACTCTGATTGCACTTCTCAGGCCGCATCCCTAGCAGTGTGGCAATTCAGAGTATTTTGCGTATAAAAACCTACCAATGTCTCTTCTTCATCCTCATCATAGTCTATATAACTAAGTATAGGTGATGGCTTATTATAAGCAAACGTACTGAAAAATAAGTGTTCTTTGTCACCATTTTAAAGAAATATCTTAAACAAATTTCTGTCTTCTGTCTTGTTTCCATTCTTTCTACTAGAATTTCTGGAGGTGGGGAGGCAGAGGGAGGGAGAGAGGGAAAGTGGGGGAAATAAAGAAACAATTTATTTGGTTCTCTCTTGGAAGTCTTTTAAAACCTTCTTTTTCTATTACAGCAAGTACTTTTATGAACATATTTGTCTGACTATCGCTGTATACCTGGGTATGTGAAAGTCATACAGATTTCTAAATGTGGCTGGGTCAAAGATATACGTGTTTGAAATGCTGACAGATATTGCTGAATTGACTTGCAAAATGGTTGCACCAATTTTCATTTCATCTAACTGTGCAGAGCAGAATCTGTTTCCCCAGTTGGTCAAAATACGTTACCAACTGATTTTGTTCTGATGTAGCCATTGATATTAGTAAATTATGCTGTTTTAAGACTTTGTAGTGTTTTTTCACATAAATTATTAATGCAGTACACTTCCCCTCACCTCTTAATAATTGCTGAAAATCTCTGTTTCTATTTTTAAATCATTGTTTTAGGACAATACGTTCCTTCTGGGACACCAGTTATATTTGCTGATTGTAATTTACACAGGAAGAATTACCCTTTTGGATCTTACAATTTCCATAATACTCTCTCTTGTTTACCATTTATTTATGCTGTTGCTTGCTAATATATTCATTTATATTCCATCCATTTCCAAGGCTGATTTGAAGTGGCATGTGATAAAATAGCAGGCATAAAGAAATATAGCATTGAAATGGAAGGAAAATATATTCTTAAAAATTAATATAGTGACTTTAGCAGTAAATCTAGTTCTGAGCTTTCTAGATATCAAGGCCAAAAGGACCAGTCAATGTTCTGATTAATGTGTAGCCTATAGAAAGAGAAAATATATTAGCTCATATGGAGATAAACCATTTTTTCCTTCTGTTCAATTATTTAATGAATGTTTCAGGTGTACATGTACTATACAATATCCTCAAAAACTATAGTGTAGAAAAACCAAAGATTTTATTCACATGACTACATTTTGAAAAAAGAGAAATAAAACTTGAAAACATCATTCATAAGAGAAATATATTTCTTATAAGCCAGAACAAGCTCAGCTATTAGATAATAACTTGAATATAAATCAATCTTATATTTAATATTCCCTAAATGCATAGGCTCATTGCTATTGTTATATTTAATTTTAGCTCTGAAGAAAAAAGTGGAATATGTTTAATTGTCTGAACAAGGGGATGCCGATGATAATTATGATAAAGATGATTATAATTTACTCTCATGCAAATTGTAGGTAACCTTTCCCCAATTGCTTCAGTATCAAATTTTTTCCCCTCACAGTGACACAAGAAATGCAAGACAATCAACGGGGCTCCAGCATTAGCTCAGTTAAATCCCATTTAGAACTAAAATATTCCATGGCACAATTCATTTGTCAAATCACTGCGATATCTTTGTGACATGGATCTTGTGTACAATAAGGACACAGGGTTTCATGTTATCTGCTGGGTACTGTACTCCTTTTAAAAATGTATTTATCTTCTGATAGCTTTACATTTGCTGAATGAAGAAAATGTTGCCTGCAAGGTATTTGCTTGGTATTCAGGGGTATTGGTTCTAGTCAGTTGGGGTACACTCAAGCCCCTCTTTCGAAATGCCATGGTATTTGCATACAAACTCTACACGACCTTCCAAATTCTTTAAATTATCTCTAGGTATAATAAAATGTCAGGCTATATAAATTATTATGCTGTAATATTCAATATGTAAGGAGAAGAAAAGAAAATCTATAGATGTTCAGTACATTTATCCCAAATATCTTTGATTCGTGACCGATTGAATATGAGGATGTCAAATCTGTGGATAAGGGTATAAACTACTCCTTTTGCTTGGAACAGTGGTTTATACATGTAAGCACTCAACTACCTCCATGTCTCTCAGATCTTACCATGTAATATGCATTATAAAAGTAAAATAAATTTTAAAAACTCAAGAAGAGTATATGACATTTGGTATTTCTTAATAATGTGAACAAGGAGCTATTTTGTAGATCAACTTACATCTATCCACATGGTCAGCAACCTATTTTTCTATAGTGTTGCTGCCTACTTAATGTCAAATCTATCATGTTGTGAATGTGCTTTGGGAATTGTGTTCTAATCTATCTAGTGGATACAAAGGGAAGAGAGCTATGCCTACTGGGGGTCTGCAGTGAGGTAGATCAAAAGGAAATAAGTGTGGGATGCTGGACTGTTTCGGTGATGGACTAGACGTGTCTGTGTGTGTTAAGGAGGACTTTGATCTTGACAGAGAACAGGAAATATGGTTAAAGCCATTAAACAAATTCATCAGACATGCATTAAAATTATTATAAGAACAATGGATAAATTATTGAAATGGAGTTTATGATGGTTAATTTTATGTATCTAATTGGGCCGTGGAGAGCTGGGTATTTGGCTTAAAATAATATCTAGGTGTAGTTAAAGCTGTTTCTAGATAAGAATAACATTGAGTTGGTTGACTGGGTAAAGCTGATGATTGTCTTTCTCATTGTGAATGAGCCTCATTGAACATTTTAAAGTACTGAATAGAATACTAACTTGAGTAAGAGAGCATTCTTCCTTTTTTCTTAATGATCTTTGAAATTGAGATATCGGTCTTCTCCTTTTGGATTTGCACTTGAACTAGAACTCTACCTGTAGGTCTTCCTGTATCCTTAGTTGGCCAGCTACAGATCTTAGAATTTTTCAATCTCCATAAGTATGTGAGTCAATTCTGGGAGAATAAAACACAAAGAAATCTTGACAATTCACTGAATCCACAATTCTAAGAAACTATTCTATTTACATCTGTATCCAGTGAAAATTTGAAGATTCCTACAAATGCTCTGCAGCCTAATACTTCTCAATATAGGCTGAAGTGACTTTCGGGGGCTGTGGGTTCCAAAATCTTAGCTAGATTACAGTCAGAGTAGAAATTATTTTAAGAGGGAGGAAGGGCACGGGGAGTCTGGAAGCAAAGAGAAGAAAATGGAGAAAGGGGAGAACAAGAGCACAAGGAAAGGAGAACAAGAATACAAGGAAAGGGTAGAGGGTGGAACAATTCAAGTACAAGCCGTTTTCAACTCACTCTTCTGTCAACTTCTGAGTTGGTTTCCACAAGAAACAGCTATTTTAAATATTCTCTTTTCCTCTTGTTCTCCTTCTCCTTCTTTTCTTCCTTCTCCTCATTCTCCCCCTTTTTCTTCTTCCTCCTCTTCATCTATCTTTTTCTGCTTCTTTCCTAGGAAAACTCAATACTGCAGGACTTAGGAGAGAGGGATGGCCACATTGGTCCCATGGAAACACTTCTGACTCCACGGTGGCATCTCTATTCTCCTAATCCGCACGTTGTTAGTGAGATAATTTAACGCTGAGTGTGAGATAAGAACAAGAAGACTGCGCGGCTCGGCAATAGGGAGGTATATGGGAGCACTGAGCTGTAGCAGAGAGCAGGGGCCAGGTGGACCTAGATGGATCATGGCCTGGGATCATCTTGCGCTGGCTGCTCTGTGCAATGTGTTGGCCAGATCAGCCTCACCAAATTGCCAAAGATCAGAATGTGGAGTCAGGTACTGCCAAATACCTGGGTGACCTTCGACCTTCCTCATACTCTCTAATTCTCCTATTTTATTTAAGCTTTGAGATAAAGGTAATAATCCCTACTATTCATTGCTACCCCTACCATTGAGTTCTATGACTTTAAATGGCCCAAGAATATGAGGTGCTTACTGCATGGAAGAAGCACATTCTGTATTCAATAAATATAAATTTATCCTTTCTTTCCCAAGATAAGTTTTCATTCAGTCGTTCAATTATTAACTTATTCAACAAATATTTACTGACGAGCTCTAGGATGTCAGGTATCATGCATAGCACTGCATGTAAAAGGATAAGAGAGTAAAAAAGCAAACTCCAGCTATGCTTAATCACAGAATTATTATTGTTATTATTGTTGTTGTTTTTAAGACTTACTGCTTCCATTTCTGGAATTGCTGAGATTTTTCAGGCCCTGAGAGTAAGAGGAAATCAATTTACTTTAAAGATAATAATTGACCCCAACCTCTGTGATGTTGCTGCTTCTGTCTGCAACAGTTTTCTTTATCCTTGTTTTTCTAAAAGTTACCTAGAGTTTGTCCCAGGAGCAGTCCACATACAGTGTTTCACATTGAGACCATAGTATCTTTGCTCCCTGAGGCTTACAAACTGTTTTTTATAACCTTAGCCTAGCACTTAGCACCTAACACAGGACTCAATAAATTGTGCATGATTATTGAGAGAGAAAATAGAGGAAGGAATTGTCTTAAGGAACCAAGGTGTCAGGTGATTCCAATTAACACCAGTGTTTTAATACTGCTGAATCGGCAGCCACATGGGCTACAGGAGGTGCAGCTGACACTGTAGTTCCCAGCCGGAGCACATTAATGTCACTAGGGGAGCTGGAAAAGTTACTGATGAAATTGAAAGAAGTTTTGGACACTTACTAGATGATGCCAATGTACAGCTTTGGTTGATAATGACTGTAGTAATGAGGGTAGTGTGAAATCATCCCACAGCCCTTTCTGGCTTCCAGTGGAATTCATAGAGAGAGTCCTGCCATTGACTTTGGATCATCGTTCTCCAGGGCTTCCAGTGTTGACTGGGGATCATTCAGTCAAGCTATGATGACTATGAACGTTATTATTCAATATGGGACACTTTAAAGTAACTCCAGTATAGTATAAATATTCAAAAATACATCCATGTTTGCAGGTCAATGGATATCACACATACACACTCTCACGTCACCCCATCCCTGGGTCAGAAAGAGCACTACAACTAAACAAAATGTGTCATGTTCACTTCTAGGCTATGTCTAAAGGGCAACCAGTGCTCTGATTTCTTGGACCATGGGTTTGTTTGAACTATTTTTCTATTTATACAAATGAAACCATTTTGCTTTTATATCTAGGTGATTTTGTCCCATATTGTGTTTAATTCATTTCTGCAATTATGTTTAAAGACCTTTCATTTTTGTTGCTATTAGATTTTTCTGTGAATGTAACATTATTTACTTATCATATCCTTGGGTAGGTAAGTGGTTTTCAATCTTTACCAGTTATGAATAATATTTCTGTGGGAAATTTAATGTGTATTTTGGTCAAAATATGAATGCATTTTTTGAAATATATCTACGAGTAGAATTATTGGTCTTTCATCTGCATATGTGTACCCTGAGCTTTGGTATATCTAATAGTTTGTATATTGAACACCTTGCTCTCCAAAGCCCATGTGTTAAATTCAATCCTCAGGGAGGCACTACTGGGAGGTGGAGGAACGGTTAGGAAATTAGCAGTTCTTAGGTTATTTGAGTCATTCCCAGCAAAGAAATTGTGACACCTAAGTCTCTTCTTCTTCCTGCTTTTGTTCGCTTGTTCTTTATGTAATGATTTTGCTGTGCTGCAATTTAGACATTGTGATTATTTTTTGATAGTTTATTGTGGTTTAAATTTACAGTTCCTCTAATACGATGTTGAACATTGAATATAACATTGAATATACACTGATTATCCCTTTGCATGGCTTTTTTATAAAACAGATATTCAAGTTTTGCCCAGTAGATCCTTTTTTTTAAATTTTTGATTTTGTGGAGTTCTTTTATATTCCGTGTACATAAACTATTTGTTGCCTGTATGCATTGCAAACATCTTTAACCCACTCTATAAATTGTCTTTTGTGCATTTTAATAGTGTTTTCTAATGAATAGTTTTAATTTTAATAAGATTCAATTTAACTTATCCTTTATGAATATCATTTTTATTGTTTTTAAGAACTGTGGCTTACTCCCAGCTCAGGACACATCTGAGAATAAAAGGTAGTCCTGTGATATTCTAGAACAAAAGCATAAACTGGACTGGTTTTAGCATACCAAGATACCTGTTTAATCTAACACATTTTCCCCACTCTGAGTTACAGCAAACTAGTAGGTCTCAACCTTGGTGTTATATTAAAGTTATTGAAGACACTTCCAAAACATATTGCTGCTTGGGGCATTACCCAAGACCAGTGAATCAGAATTTCCCAGGGTATGACAAGGTGTGGATAATCTATGTATTTATTTGAGAGCTACCCAGGTTACTCTGTGATCAAGTGAGGGTGGAAAAGCACCCTTTTAGCCTGGAGGTTCTCAAAAAGTAAGAAGAGTAAAACCGCTGGAGTCTTGTACAAATAAATGTTCCGCTTCAACCTGGGGTGCCTCAGTTTCTTTTAACCATGCAAGTTTGCTGGTGCCAATATTTATGGATGATCAAAAACAGACCAACTTGTAGATCAGGTTTCTCTACAAGGGCACTACTGATATTTTAATTCAAGTATTTTGTTGTGGGAAAGATACTTTATATACTTTAGTGTTTACCATCATTCCTGGCATTATGCATTAGATGACAATGTCATCCCTAAAATTTGAGAATCAAAAAATATCCCCAGGCAGTCTTCAAAATCACATGGATAGAAAACAATCTCATTTGACAATAATGTAACATTTTTGACACAGCTCCAAATCACCTCAGTCACACTACCAATACTTCATTACTTTAAATATTATTTAAATATTGTACAATATTTCATTGTTAGAGATTTATTATAATATCATTGGGGATTTATTAAAAACAGGTCCAGTGTGCCACCCAAGATTAAGGTATTTACGTAGCTACTATTTCCTTTGAATAATATGATAAAAATAGCATATGATCCGTGGGTACTTTTTTTTTACATTGGCTCCAGATATAGTAGTAGGTACTCTTGAAGAGCATGGCAGAAGAAGAGAGGCGAGGGTAGAGATAATCATTCCTTCCCAGTGACATGAAAACAAGAAGAACTCTCTCTACCTGCCCCCAACCACCCCATCTCTCTGAATATATATTCCAAAACCACAAAAGGCTTGTCTGGTGTGTCTATTTGGCACATAATCTTTTTCAAGTTATTAGGCCATAAGACCCAAGAAAGCAAACTGTAGTGCAAAACAACATGAGCAAAAGACACACAGGCCCTGCTCTTTTTGTTGGCTGGGGGATACCCCCCCTTCTCACTTGCTTATCATTGAAATTCAAAACCATGCAAGTGTATTGGACAGTTTCCACGGTCACTCTTCTTGTTTTACCTCCCTGTGACATCATATCTGGCTGCTGGTTCATTCTACCCACATTTCGAAATGGGATGCTCTGGTGCACAGAAGAGTAAGAACTGAACTTCCTTGCCATATTACTTTGCTTTCATTTTCTAGAGATAAGCACTGAAGGAAGTTCCAAATGATGTTATACAATGGGAACCTTAATGACCACCATTATTATTAGACACCCACTCTCTTTTCTCTCACAGGAGTGGTTCTTGCTACATTTATTTTACTTCTTAAAGAAAGAAATAGTGTGCCAGATAGAATAGAAATAATCAGAATTCTGAATACCAAATGTAATTCAAAACACCTATGAATAATCTCAGCTTAATATGCTCTTAGCTTTGGCTTAGATAAGAGATCCCAGCCATAAAATAGTACAAGAAAATTGATGTAAAGAAATTGTTCAAAATGTACAGCATGTATCTTCTGCATTTGCAAGCCTTCAATTACTCTTAGCCTAGGTTTCCAAAGACACAATCTATTTTTGAAAGATGGAGAAAAGGTCTAGGAAAAGTCTGCACAATGAAAACAACTCTGAAGTTTCAAACACCAAATATACCAAAAGCATTGGTTGTTTTGAGTTTTCTCTATGTATTACTCAGCCTGCTGCAGTAAGTATTCTGAAATATCCATTATGTGTCATTAAATATGTATAGAAGAAGCAAAAGCATTATGCTCAATTCCTTCTCTAAGAACTTCATCCTTTAATGCTGAAAACAAGACATGCATCTAAATTTTCATTATCACCAACATAATCATTATCATCATCATTATCAAAACAATAATTTCATTTTAATATGTCTCATAAGAAAGTGACAGACACAAGGCTTCAAAATATTTTAAAGAAAATAGGCATTTTGTGTAAAATATAAGCCTCTAGGTAAACCTTTCTTTTTAGATATGCTTTTGTTTCTATTTATTTATTTATATCGGGGATCAAACTTGGGTCCTTGCACTTGCAAGGCAGGTGCCAGAACCACTGAGCTAATTCTTCAGCCCCAGGGTAAACCTTTTGAAATAGGTGCCATTCT